TTCTTTTTTTCTTTTTTTTTTTTTTGTCACTTTTTGTTAGTGGAAATTTAATTTCCCTAAAATTTGTATACACTGAATGTTTCTATTATTATATTTATGTTTGATTTCATAATTTTTGCAAATTGAAGAATGATTACTGCTTGGTTGAAAAGGAACATTATCGTTATGGTAGCTGTAAAATGGATAGGAAAAAAAATTAAGCAAAAATTTTCTTTGCTTGAAATAGTGTTGGCAGGAAAGCAGAAGAGGAAAAAAAGGTGGAGGGAACCTGGTACTGATTTGATCTGAGATGTTTAGGCACCTCCTATCCTGTAGTTTAGTCGATTAGGCGTATTCGTTGACCCAGCAGTATGTGGTGCTCCATATTTACTTTGTGTTGCGTTATTCATTGTTCCGTGTGAGGTTGTTCGCTAATGGAACTTTTTTGTTTCCTCTTTACAGACCTAAAACGAAAGAACATGTATAAAGGGAATTTACCATTGTCACAGGAGAGTCGACAGGTTGCAAGTGAACTGGAAGGTTTGTGGGATGAAAATGCGGAAAAGTATAAATGTTGCTGTCGTACAGTACATGTCAAGAAGGCGTCGTTGTTCATCGGATATGCTCAGATGTGTATCACAGTATTCGCTGTCCTATTTGTTTTATTCTACTATCTTCAGGTTTTGTTAATTTTGTTGCCGCTCAGAATCACACCATTTTTTGTCTTTCCTAAATTGATGATGCTTTTTTAGGCGCTGAATGGCAATGCTGACCCAGAGCACTGGTTAGGACAGTTGAATAATCGCTATCTCAGTAGGTTTTTTGACTTTTTTTTTTACCATTTGTCACAATTCATTTATGGAAATGTTACGCTGAATCACTGGAGAAATGAGAAGTAAAATCACGTGAATCAGTTCTCTTCTTTTAAAAAGAAAGGCGGATCAAAGATATTTTTAGTATTTTATGAGTAGTACTCCGTAGTTCATCTGCTGGCGAGATGATTAGTAAATTTTTCCCGTATTTTTGTCACTTAAAAAACGAGTTAGCTTGTTTTTTTTGATGCTTGTACATTCCTGAGTTGATAAAGTTTTCTTCTGATTGAATGCCAACGAACGTCATGTATTACAGCATCTTTCCTGTTCGCAATCTCACTGCAACTGTTTCTAACACTACTGCTAATTCATGGGATCCGTACCGAACGAGCATCTTTCCTTCTTCCTTTCATCATTTTTGCATCTATAGCAATTCTGCTTGGAGTGGGACAGGCAAGTAGTACCTTCATCTACTTGTTTATTTTTCTTTTTTTTTGTCGTCGTTAATCTAATTCTTCGCTTTTCTTTAGCTTTATTAGCTTTTCTTCTTTCTTTGTGCTGCAAGTCGAGGATTTTTTCTAACAGTAAGCTTGTCGTCAATTCTAAAAGGTAGCGGAAGAAGATGCTGCTTTTTGAAGTTCTGTAGTAATAACTGTTCGGAAAAACTTCAGTTTATTTATTTGCCGTTTGCAGTAGAAAATTTTGGATTGGCGAAAGTAACGAATACTGTTTTCAGCTTGTACACGATCTGATCAGCTTCCTCGATGAGCATAATTCACAGGTTTATAATATCCGGTACGTCTTAAATGCTTGGACTGTTTCACCATCAAGCCAATTAAAAATCTTTTTTTTATCTTATTTTATTTTTTGCATATTTGGAGAATATATTGAAGAACAGTTTTTGTCTGATATCGGTTTTTTCTTAAAATTGTAGTTCTAAACTTTTTTCAGGAAATTTTGGTTGTATTTTTGGGGAAATTAATGTTGGTATTTTTATTGATTTTCAACTATCAAAGCAAAAAGTTCATAATTGGACTGCAACAAAATTGTTGTTTTTTAGACAGCTAAACGCTCATTTGATTGGCACGCTCATTCATGTTTGGTGTGTGGCTGTCATTTGGCGTTGCTATGGCTTCTTGGGAGACAAGAAGGTATGTCGTTACTGCTTAGCGCAATTGTCGTTCTCCGGTGTCGCTTGTTCAATATTCTCTTTGGGCTGCAGTTAACCAAGACGTCAGTCTAGTGATTTCTTCGGCTTTGGAACAAAGTATTTTCTTTTTAGGTAGCACGTCAGATAAGCAGTCAACTTTCCACTACACATCTCGCGTTCCACTATGGCGACATTCCTTATGGATACGTTGCAATGCCGCAGCCTCCTCCATATGCCGATACTGTTATCAGTGCAGACAAGCAACCCTTAACAATTGCCTAATCAGCCATCTGTACCAACTGCTGATGGGATCATAGAAAATGTGACATCCGTTTTTTTCTTTGCAAACCTATTGTCATGTTTGGCTGTTTCCATCTTTTTATTTTGGCACTTTTAACGGCAAGCCCTTGTTTTACGTTTTTATACCCAAGGAAATATGCCAGGAAGTTTATTGGTTTGTATTATCTATTCGTCTTGTATATTTTTTTATTTAAATTTTGTATCCAGATAGCTATTGGAATGTGTAATCTTTTTTTTCTCCTCTTTTTTGTTCATTCGGTGTCTGAAGTTGTATTGTTTAAGGTTTTGCCTCTCATTTCTTACACATTCTTTCGGGTAGAGTCATTTTGTTTTGAAGTTTCTGATACGGTATTTGATTTGGCTATTTATTTTCGTTGACATTCTGTTGAAGCCAAATCACAAGCTTTTTTCTCACTCAAAAAAAACTTTTTCAACTTTGGTATGCACTTTTTTTGAGTTTTATGCGAAAATGTTTAGTCTGTAGTCCCAACTTTTTATCAAAGCCGAAACGGTTTTTACATTTTTTCATACCTTTATTCTTTTGAAAAAGGTTTTTTTTGGTACTGATATATGTAATTACCTCCATGACAAAGAAACTTCGACTTTACTAAGATCTGCACTGGCTTTGCTGAAATGCTTTTGTATGCTAATAGTTGTTGACCTGATTGAAATATCAGAATTACATTGTTTTTGAAAAGTTAGGATGTGGTGTGGCTTTTAGTGTTTTGAATGGAAGAGTCGAACGTGTCCTGAACAAATATAGTCGACATGATAAATGACATATTGAACAGATGTTTTAAAAGTGTCTTGGAGAATAGTTCGCTTAGATAGTGGCTGTTGAGTTTTTACTGTTTGCACTATGGTATGCACTAATACTTTGAGCAGACCAGTTGTGGACAGTTCTTTGTTTATATTCACTAAAAGTGTCAGAGAGGAGGAATGGCAACGCCACTTCAATTTTGTCTACGGGGCTGTAGATATAAGATGATGGAAGATGGGAGTATGTGAAAGGAATTGGGCTACGTTTTGCTGCATATTGGAGATTTACAGCTGGTTGTTTGGTATCTACGTGACAAATATTTTCATTGGCGTACTTGCGTTGTGGAAACTGTCATTGAGCTGTACAGGTAGCTGTGCAGTATTTGACAGTTTTATAAGCTATTCGCTGGTTCTTGTTTGGCAAAGGGACTGGGGGAGGTGAAAGGTCAATTATTTTCGGTGTAATTTCAAGATTTTCAGAGGTTTTAAGCAGTAATTAGTGCACATGTATTTTGAAGTGCAGGTGAATGATTATGCAAGTTTAAAATGGTAAGTGCAAACCAAGAAGTTTTGAATGGTTACCGTTTCAGCCAATAGGGCCGTGTTTTTTGGGGAATTTTTGTTCTTCTTTATTCATTTTTTAAGTTCCAATTAAGCAATCGTCTTGTAAAAAAATTGAGACCTTTTTTATGGGTTAGGAGTTTTAAATTTTGATGCTTGTAAAGAGAATAGTTTTTAGAGTGATGGACACTGTGCTATTTTTTAACTGCATTCCGTCGTGCTTTTTGTTGATAACAGGAAGCTTGTTATGGTTGCTGAAGAAGTTTGATAATGTTGACTTTTGGTAGGCATACTGATATTAGGAGCCGCTGAAAACAGGATGATTAGGGTGCAACAAGATAGGACAGAAGAGAGAGAGCAGCAGAAAGGAAGAAAGAATGGAGATGGGAAACACTTCATTGGTAGTGTTCGAAATAGGCGATCTACCGCTTAATGTAGATCCCGGAAAATACTCGGATTAGTGAATCCTTACAGAGAACATATTTTAAATAGATAACTTGTGAGTTCACTCAGTAAACATACTTTTTTGCACTCACGCATAACTTTTCGGCTTTAAATGCTTCTTTTCTTGCCTGTTTATAATTCTAAAATAATTTGAGCAGGCTATAATTACAATGAGTATTCTACCCATTAATATAAATCTATAATTGAAGATTTTTATCGTAGGGAGTCTGAAATATTTTTTTATTAGTTTTATTGGCTAAACTATAAAACCTTGTTTTATAAAAAACTTTTTGATTCTGTTTAATGACTTTCGCTCTGTGTTTTGGTTGTGTACTCTATATTAAAAAGAAGGCCAACTTTCCTCTTCTGTAGGTTACGTTCATCGCCTAATATGTAGTAAATAATAGAAGAAAACAGATAATAGCACATGAAGGCATAATGCCTTTATGTGATGAAAATAAACTGAAAATAAGTAGTACTTTTTGTTTAAAAAAGAAGCATTCATAACGTTTCTGAGGTTTTTTATTTATAATCGAAGCTTTCTGACTTATAAGACAGCTGGAAAGACTAGCGGTTTTTTTAACTATGGATGTTGTAATAATAAAACTGTGGTATGTATAAATGGGTTCTCAACCATATAAATGTAATTATGAGGAGAAAGAAGAGTTTAGGGCAAATTTTTAGGCAAGTACACATGGTACTTCTATTGCGTGTTGCCGATGTTGAAACATTTTATTGGCCAGACAATTGCTGTGGTGCAGTTCTGATCACGGCCAATCCGAATTATCTACAGTCCAGGAATTTCCAGCTACTCGAGCACTGATGTAATTAGAGTGGATGCTTCATAGTGGTAATGACTATTAGTGGTTTCAAAAGGAGCGATGATTGTGGACTGCCAATTTATTTTTACCATTCAGCTGTATATCGATCTTGAACTCTTGGAAACTGATAGCTTCTTCTACACTTTTCTCTTGACTAACAATGAAGGTCCGCTCTAGCTGGAGGATTGGGCTGAAAAGGGAACCTAAATTGCCATGTTTTTCAAAAAATTGTCATTTATTCTTTTTGTGTGCTCTATTATTGAAAATTCTGTCAATCTTTGTAGCAAAACAGGCTTATGGAATTAAATGCGCCAAAGGGGCGAAGATTTATTGTTTCTACAGAAGAGATTATTGCACGTTTGGCAGCTGAGGGGTGTACATTTTAAAAGCTTACAGGGGTGAGTCGTGGTGGAAAGTTTTGAGTTGGTTAAGTGCTCTAGACAGCTTATCGCATGAGGAAATGCGTTACGGGATACAAATACGAGAGAATTATCAAAAACACGGTGGATAGGAGTTTGCATTTCTATTGAAGGAACCTTTGGGATTAACTTTTCAGACTTCTAGTTGGTTTTTATGAGTTGAAAAAAGTGGCGGTGTACTCTCTGAAATTTGCAAAATCTACAATTTGTAAGGCTTAACGGTTTTAGAGGAAGGTTCCAAGTAGTGATTTGTTTTCAGTGAAATTAAAGACGCCCAGCTTGTCATTGTGCAAGAGCAACAAAGTGTCGAGCGCCTTTTTGAGGCGAGAACAGCAGCGATTGTGTACTAAGCAGATAGAGGCTATAAAAGAAGGGAAAAAAGGAAGGGTAACAAATCAGTCAGGTCGGTATCAAATAAATGACGTTGTCAAATGTGCAGAACGATACAGGAATCTTCAACTGATCAACACTGCATAACTTTTAGTGCCACCGAGTCATCATTGGGAGTTGTTAAGGCTTATGATTAAAGAAATTCAGATGAGAGTAATGCATATGGTTCACAGGTAACAGTAAGTGGGCTAAGACAGCGTTACCAAGCAGGAGCTACTGTAAAGAAGTACTGAAGAAACTGCATAACGTTTCAGAAACACTTATCACTGTCTTATACATTGTCAAAATTACTCTGTATATCAACAACATTGGATCAATCAAGGAATAAGTTAATTGGAATTGGTGGGGTCCTTTTGAGAGCAGTGGCTTAGACCACTGTAAATAGGTGTCCGCAGAAGCAAGTGATACTTGAAGTGGTATGAGGAAA